TGCCCATCTTTTTCCTGTGGAGTGACGGATGCGTTTGAACCACCAGGGTGTAATGGTATTTGGTTTATCAGGAGAACTCCCTATGAATTGCACCACCACAGCTTCCTAAAAAACTCAAACTCTGTTTGTTGAGTTAGAACTATGGCTGATCCCACTGGGTTTCCACAGCTCTAAACAGTAGAGGAGGAGATTGTCCACCTTTCTCCTACAGAGCCACCGGTGGATTTGAATCACTAGAGATACACAACTTTTACAGCAGCAGTGTAACTTCCTATGGACTGTCACCAGAGCTCCCTAGAGGTAAATTGTATACAGCAAGTGACAGCATCAGGACCTGAATCCATGCTTGACTTCTCCCAAACCAAGGACTTTATGGATAAGTAACAAGGGGTTAACAAGAATCCCTTGAAAGCTTCTAAAGAATTGCAGGTAAAGAGCAAAGATTGTCCCAACCTCCAGAACAGCAATGATTAGAACAGTAGGCTTTGAGCTGCTTTGCTTGACCTTAAGATGTACTGTTCATCCCTGGGTTTTATTGTTTTTTCCTCCTCTCTGAAGTATGCTATGGGACATGACTTTGTATTATGGACAGGACTGTAACACCTTATTTTTCTTAGGTATTTCAAATATCAGTTCTCTGTGTCATGAGAAGAAAGAAAAGAAGAATGCGTACATCACTGGCATTCCAGTAAGCCTTCTTGGCTCTGATGAGGATTGGTGTATCTGGAACCGGGGTGTATCTGTCCTTCATCTTCTCATATTGAATCTTGTACTTTTTCTAAAGAATGAATAGAAAATAAAGAAAAAACAAATTAAAACGTTTTGGTTTCTCTCAACTCAGCACCCAAACAGAAGATCCAGTTGAGGAACTCAAAGTATCATAGCTTGTAAGTGATAGCTTAGCTCCAAGTGTTTTGCTAAAGCTGACCACAATTAGTAGTCCTGGGTTACCTGGTTAGAGGATGTAGGTCAAGTTTTAACCCAGGATTTCTTTCTTTTTTTTAGAGCCCAGTGTCTTAAGTCCCCCGCTTACCTCGCTGACCATGTCCTTTACTTCTTTGGCATGCTTCAAGGCTGTGGTCTGATTGCCAGCATGATGATGTGGTCTCTCTTTGGTGGCAAGTTCAACATATAGATACTAAGTAATCAGAAAAGAGCCATGAGACATTATAGTGATGAACTATGTAGTATTCAGTGTTCTTCACTAGTTTGAAGGCCTTGAATGAGAAGGGAGTATCTATGTCCTGTTAAGTTTGGCTTCCCCATCCTTCCTGATACATATGTATCTGTTAATTTCCTTTTTTGTACATCTGATGTTTAGAAATACATATACATGCTCCACTTAACCAATATTGTACTGGTGAGAACAAGAATCTAAAGTAAAGATCACAAAATGACAGAACAAGTTGGATCTAACAAAGCCTTCAACATACTACTTTTACTTTGTCTGAATGTAAGGAATGACGTTTTGTTTGCTTGTGGACAATCACTAAGTCTTATGGAAAGCATCATACAGTTATATTGTAGTATCTGCAGTCAATAGACTACTGATCCAAAGTTACAGCACTTAGGGGAAAAAAACCTCCTTTGCTTATGCTAAGTGTAACCATAGCTGAGATGTGTCAAAGTTTGTGGCATGCAATGCTAACTTGCACAAGGCTGCATTTAGGACAAACAGGTAGCGGTGTCTGGTATTGAGCAGAGCTCACCAGGTGGACACCAGTGTGGCGTGTTTGTGTGTCTTCATTAGTAAATATCTCACCTGACTCTGAAGCTTCTGTCCTCTCTTGGCTCGTAAAAGATCTGGAGTATCAGGAACAGAAGTGAAGACTGACTTTTGCTTCTTGCCTGAAGCTCTGTACACCAGCTAAACACAAAGCAAGTTATCACTATTATGTCAGGTTTATTGTCATATTATGTTCTCTGAAGATGCCTTTATTGTCTACTTATTAGGAAAAGCAGGGCTTTCCACTTCCTGAGAAGCTAGTACTTCAGATGTTTCCCCATCCTTCCTCTCACTTTTCTCTCCTTCTACCAAAAAGCGAGACATTTTGTGGCCTGCCCAGGATCCAAGCCTTCTGCTGTGCTCTTGATCCCATTCTTGCTTCTTCTTGGAAGCCCTCTCCAGTTCTCCCACCTTTTCTTCCTCTCCTTCCAGCTTTCTGCCTTATCCACTGACAGAGTCAAGTCTCACCCTCAGGAACTCTTTGTCCCTAATCAATGGCCTCATTTCTTTCTCGCATAGCCAGGCAGTCTGTATTTCTTTTTCCTTTTTCTCTCTTTGAATTGCTTTTTCAAGGTGACAGAGTGGCTTCTACCCAACTGCTCTAACAATATCACTTTTTACAAGGCCACCAACAGCTTTAACAACTCCAAAGCCAGAGAATGCCTCTCTGTCATAATAACTAGTCCTAATAATAATAATAATAAGCAGTTTCCTTCCTGAACGTCTGCTCTCTGCCTCTCATCCTTCTCTAGGAATCCTTGATTTTCTTGGTGACACTAGGTCTCCTTTTAATGTCCTGCTGCTTCTCCTGTTCCCCAAAAGATTGCTATTGCCTGGGGTCTTGGCCTTGCTCCTTTCACCTCATTCATGCGAGGGTTCTCTACCACGAACACCGTTTTCCGATTGATGGCTTCCAAATCTGTGTGTCCAATCTCTCCTGAGCTCCAGACTCAAATCTTCTGCAACTTTTGATCTTGAGTCACTCATCATGCTCAATGTTGAATCCTTCCTCATCCCCACCCCTACACACACCTACTTCCCCTATTGTGTCTATTTTGCTAAATGGCTCCTTGATCTCTCAGTCATCCAGGCCAGAAATTTGGGAAGTCGTTCTAGATTCCATCTCCCTCTCCCCTCATGTCAAATGGTCACATTTCATGACATCCTTAGGTATGTCCCCTTTCTCATTTCCCGCTGTCACTGAATAGTTTAGCTCCCTAGCTTCCTTACCTCCCCCAAAAGCATCCTAAAACAACAACCACACTCCATTTTGGGACCGTTCCACATGACTCATTCATCTTCCATAAGTCTATGTTAGAGACTTTCTTTTTAAAAAAATTAGTTTTAATGAAAGTTTATAGAAACTTTGGATTTCCATTTATTCATTGTTGCACTTTTCTCCCTGCCAACCTCGCCCCCCCCCCCAATTTGCTCTTCTTTTTGAAAAGTGAAATTCTTTCATTGTTATATAATCCCTCCCATCAAGTCCACTCCACTATGCTGCCTTCATTCTGGACTCCTGTCATGGCAATGATACCCAAACATATATTCCTTTTAAACGGTTATCTCCTTCATCTGTTAGAGACTTTCTAAAATCTTGTGTCTAATCTTATCTTAGATTTCTGGTGGTCTAGTGGCAAGAAGCTGCACTGCAATCGATGCTACCAGCTGCTCTGTGGGGGAAGGATGGGCAGTCTCCTCCCATATGATTAACTGCCTCTGAAAACCCACCAAAGGGTCAGCTATGGTTCAGACTCTATAGTATACAACAACAACAATCTTATCTTAATGTTCAGACATTTCCTGCATCTCTTCAATGACTTTTCATCAGGCTCAGAATTATAAATACAGCACCTACGAGTCTTCAAAACATGGTTTCTATTTATACTTCTTGCCTCATTTCCCAGCATTCTTCCACATTCCCATGTGCTATTTGAAACTACTCCCAGATTCAAGCACTTATTATACTTATTTTTATTTTTTGTCTAGAATGTTCTTTTGCCTCTTATTAATTTGGGAAACCCTACAGCCACATTGTCTTGATTATCACTGTTAAGTACAACATTTGTCTCTTCTCCCACTCTCTGTGTCCACAGAATTCTAGGGCTCAGTTTTATCCAGGGCATCTAGTCAAAGTGTTCTGAAAAACAACTGCCTCCTAATATGTGTTGAGGGAATTTAAAGTAAGCCAGAGAAACCAAGCAGAGCACAAATAAATTTTAACTACCAATTTAAATGCCAATGTAACAGATGCAATGTAACAAAGATAAATATTACATACACCTAACAAGTAATGCCAATTTAGGAATGACTTGGTTTGAAAACATTAACCTAAATTATGTACAAGTTAAATAAAAATTTGGTTCATCTTCTTGTGGCTGCTTTTGTTCTTATTGTTGAGAGAAAGGGGTAAAATGGAATGAAAATGTAATTATTTCACCCAGGCTAAATTTGTAATAAATAAAAGCAACAACTCTATAGACTATTACTTAAAAAGAGTCCATATTAGCGTCTAGTCCAATTCTGTAGCTCAAGAAATTTGAGTTTTGAAGTTGTGAATTATCCAGTTACATAGCTAATTATAAATAAATCTTGCACTACTATTCAATCGTCTTTTACAAAATTTTATTCTTTTATTATTTTGTGTGTGTGTGTACCGTCAAATTGGATCTGAGTGGTACAGGAGGAGATTGCCCCTCTTTTTTTCCGGCAGAGCATCTGGTGGATTTGAATGACGTACTTCTAGATTGCAGTGCAGCTTCTTGCCACCAGACCACCAGAGCTCCTTTAATATCCAACTCTTCATGAGAAGAGTTATTATCACCATCCTACATTTATTCTTTATTAGGTATGAATTGTTTATGCTTCTGTGTATTATATATGAAAGTATTAAAGACAATTCAAAAGTCAGCAATCTAAACTTCTTGCAACCATCAATTTTTTTTTTATAAAATTGATGGGGTTTTTTTGTTGGATTTTTAAATAATTTTAATGAATATTTACAGAGATTTTGGATTTCCATTCATTGCTGCACTTCTCTCCCCACCCAGCCGTCCCCCTACCTCCCTAAAATTGATGTTTTAAAAATATTCCTAACTGTAAAAATCTTCTGGGTCCCCATTAAAAACAGATTAGCAGGCCCTATCCCAACTCTTCTCAACTTGGGGGAGTCACTTAGATCAGTATGTTAGCAAGCCAGGTCATTTCCCTGATGAGACTCCTGTGGAAGACACTGTTTCTAAAATGGAAGTTAACACTGATGCACAATTAGTGCACAATTCCTATAGGAATTAGAAGCAGAGGAATAAACCTTTTGGATAATTCTAAACCCAGAAAGAGATGTGAAAGCATCTTGGAGATTAAGATAAGCACTTTACATGACCGTTCTTTTTTTTAAAAAACACCTAGAGGAGACATGTGGCCTCAGTGTCAATGGGCAGATGAAGATGAAATGATGTTTTTTCTAATTTACTGAGTGTACAGCAGAGAGCCACTGAAGACCTTCAAACAGGGCTCTTTAATGATTAAGGTTCTTAATGTTGTTGTGTACCATCAAGTCAGAACCAACTCATAGATGACCCTCAAGCAGGTTTCCAGAGGCTGTTCATCTCGGTAGACTTGAACCATGTGCTTTCTGGTTGGCAGCGCAGCTCCTTTCCACTAGGCCACTAGAGCCCCCTAATGTTCTTAATAGAGGCACTTTATAAGAGAGTTTTAAAACAAGAAATTCAGTAAGAAGACTACAGTTTAGGGCAAAGCAGTTTAGGGCAAAGGAGCTTTCTAATCCTTAATCATACAACTTAAAAGAAATCTAGTCATGCCAGGATGAATATCTTTTACCAAAACTCAAAAACTCATTTATTACCATTGAATCAAAACAAACTCATAACTGAGCCTCCAGTAGGTTTTTGGAGGCTGTAAATCACATTGGAGGAGACTGTCAATCTTCCTCCTGCTGGGCACCTGGTGGGTTCAAACCACTGGAAAGGCGCCACCTTTGGGTTAGCAGTGCACCCCTCTCGGGACTACACCATGGAGCTCCGTACTTTACTAAAAGGGGACAAAATAGGTAAACTGAAGCAGAAGGGGTCAACTGACTTGCTTGGACATAGTAGACAAGGGTAGAGGGGAGATATACTTCCTGCTGAGGTTGATTTTAAAATGATAGCAAGAGGAAGGGAAAACAACTTCAGATTCATTCAGTGTGTGGTGGTCAAGTAGGCTCACTTGTCATGGCCGGTGAAGCAGCCTTACCTCACTCAGATGTGTCTTCAGCTCCTGCACTTTTCTGTATTCTGGCGTGTCAAGCACCACTTTGTATTTGTCACGCATCTTCCTTGCGCTGTCAGTGTATACGTAATTAGACTGAAAAAAATTCCAAAAGCAGAAGAAAGTATAAGTTGATGGATCATTTAAGTGATCGCACTTCACGGTCACTTATTCCCTTCAAATGAATGGCGTGCACATGCTAAGCAACCCTCCCTGTGCCCTAGAGGTCTTCCAAGGTAGGCACAGGAGACACTGTCATTTACATAAGTGTATGTCTTTAACAGGAAGTACTGATCATCATGAGTAGGTCACAACCAGCTCAGAGGGTTAGTGGGAGATGCTCCCCTAAAAGCAGGTCCAGGTGCAGCTTCTTTCTGCCCAGTGCTCCTCTGCTGGTGCAGGGCTGCCTGGAGGACCGTGTAGTGATCCCCTGTCTGAAGGTGCACACTCACCCACAGCTTCCGCAAGTGCCGGGAGCGGACCATGTCAGGAGTGTCATATAGGAAGCAGCCCAGGCCCTTCAGGATCTGCAGGTCCTCTTTGTATTTAATCTGTGGGGAAACATGGAAACGTGATTGGTCATGAACAGAAGCAAACGAAGAGCAAAACAGACAGAGTAGGGATAGGTTGTTGGTTTTTTAAAATTTTTTTAGAAGTTTTATTTACATCAGCATGTCCCTCTTGTATTCTTAGTTTGCTGATTTTGTTGTTGTTATGTGCCATCGAGTTCACTATGACTAATAGTGATCCTGTTAACAATGGCTCTAAACTTTGTCCTAGTCTGAGCCTAGCTAACCATCTCTGACACACCTGACCCCCTTTTCCCAGATACTGTGTCAATCCATTTCATCCAGGGTCTTCCTCTTCTGTGCTGACTCTCTACCCTTCCAAGCATGATGTCCTTATTCGAAGACTGGTCCTTCCTGGCAACATAATTAAAGTATGTGAGATGGAGTTTCAAAATCCTTGCCTCCAAGGAGCAACCTGGTTTTATCCTCTCCAGGACAGACTTTTTTTTTTTTTAGGTCCATGGTATGCTCAATATTCTTCTCCAGCACCACAACTCAAAGGCATCATTTTTCTTCTGTCATCTTTAGTGTTGTTTTTGTTGGGTGCCATCAAATAGATTCAGACTCACAGTGACTTGTTGACTAAGAGATGTCCAGTCCTGGGCCATCTTCATTACCAGTGCTCCTTTCAGACCACTTATCTGGATATTGTGTCAATCTGTCTCATTCCAGAAAGGAGAGTTTTTCTCATTTTCACTGGCCCTCTACTTCACCAAAAAAGATGTTCTTGTATTGATGTTTGAGATTTGTTTATTCTGATGTATCCAGAATAAGCAACCCAAATGTCACCATCTTAGTATGCTCACTCCCAAACCATGCTGTTGTTTGTTGTTGTGTCATGTCAAGTCGGACATGACCTATAGTTAACCCTCCAGTGAGTTTTCAGAGGTAGATTAATCACACGGGAGGAGATTGCCCATCTTTCTCCTGCAGAACAGCTGGCAGATGTGAACTGTATGCCTTCAGGATTACAGCACAGTTCCTTACCACGAGGTCACCAGAACTCCCTTGAATAAATCAGATCTGTGGATTTTGCCTCCTATTTAGGACTCTAAAACTTTACACTAAGAAGAGAACATTGCCATTTTTTAAATAATTATTTTAATGGAGAGACACAAAGTGAATGGAGACGTGGTGTAGGATGTGAAAACATTTATGGAAGATGGAAAATAAGATGACAGCAGGAAGTTGCTAAAGGAGCTGGGAGTAAGGAGGAGAAGAAAAAAGATCTAAACATGATGTGAGACAGAGGTCAACTAATGAGCAAAGAGCTGGCAATGATTTGTTGTTGAATGTAGGACAGTAGTCAGGTGTTTTTTGGTTTTTTTTTTTAAATTTCTCAATTGACCCTCGTTCTGCTGTTTCCACAGCTGGTGGGATGTGAGGCTCTGTTTTCCATGTTAGATCTGTGGGTGGTGCATATGGTTAATAGGTTTGGTTGATAACTAAAAGGTTGGTAGTTCACATCACCTACAGGTGCCTAGGAAAAAGGTCTTGCAATCTACTTCTGAAAAGCAGGTCTTGACAGCCCCATGGAGCATGGTTCTACTTTAATGCATGGAGGCTACTGTAAGATAGAACTCACTCGATGGAAACTGGTTTCTTTGGTTTACTCTTTGACCATCTTGCTTGCTGAAAATGAGGAGGACTTGAAGTATTTGCTGCAGAAGATCAAAAACTACAACTTTCAAAATGGATTGCATCTAACATCAAGAAGACAAAAATCCTCACTACTGGGCCAGTAGTCAACATCATGATAATGGAGAAAAGGTTGAACTTGTCCATGACTTCACCTTACTTGGGTCCACACTCAATACCTTTTGTACCATCAGTCAAGAAAGCAAAAGACTTATTGCATTGGGAATGTCTTCTGTCAAGGACCTCTCCAAATGACTAAGGAGTAATGATGCCAGTTTAAAGACTTTTTGATGATTGCCATTAAGTCAAGATGACTCCTAGTGACCCTATGAACAAAAGACCTGAAGCCTTTCTATAACTATCATTGCTTCCCAAAGTTCATAGAGTTTCCAGAGACATGTTATTTAGAAAGTAGATGCCTGCTTTCCACTCCTGCTTCCAAATCTGTCTTAAACTGGGAGCTCCAGCAAACACTGTATACTATGGGTAACCATTATGGCATTTGACATTCCGATGGCACAAGGTTCAGCATCACAGCAAACCCAGGTTACTTCAGTACATCATATTGACAGAAGAGTGCTGTACCACTTAGAAGAATGTTAGTTATTTTTATTTATATAAAAGCATTTGTGTTCCTAATGTAACTCTTATCACTGTCCTACAATGAATACAATTGACATTAAATATTTGCTAAATATACATACACAGTTAGAAATAAGATTCTAATTATTAAAATATAACGAATGTTGATTATGCTTATTTCTATCTGATAGCTATAAAGATCCAGTGCTGTTGTTACAAAGACTTATTTTCATCTTATTATGGATTTACAGTGCAGACTAAGATTACTCTAGTTTACCAGTAGTTTGAGCTTGTTGGCATCACATTCAGTACTGTCTAGTACTTAGAATATGCATAAAAAAACCCCCAAAAACCTCTGATGCTCCTGTTACTGGAGAATTTTGGACAAAGATATTAGACTTTTCTGTTCAAAGACTAAAGAGTGCATAATTCATGTTATTGTCTTTTCAAATAACTTGCTATGCATCCGATATCAGGAAAATTAATAAGGATGATAGAAGAACTGATGCCTTTGAGTCGTGATGCTGGAGAAGAGTACTAAATGAATATCCCATGGACTGACAAAAGAACAAATAGATATGTCTGTTTTTTCAAGAAAATGCCGTTACAGTGCTTCTTAGAGGCAAAGATGGCAAAGCTTTGTCTCCTATACTTTGGGCATATTGTCAGGATGTATTAAAGGAGCATTATGCTTTCAAAGATGCAGTGTCAGTGAAAGAGAGGAAGACCTTCAATGAGATTAATTGACACAGTGAGTGCAGCTATGAGCTCAGGTATGTTAGAGATGATGAGGTTGGCACAGGAGAGGACAGAGTTCAGATCCATTGTTCATAGGGTCGCTATGAGTCATACTTGACTCCATAGCACCTAACAACAATGTTTGACCACTAACATGGATATATTATTTTAAAGAAAATGATGCTCAAAGTATAATGGTTGACTTAAATGGTTCAGTAATTATGCCTTTGACAAGGTCTGACCCCTACCAGAAAGATGTCAATGCAATGCTTACATCACTGGTGATGTCTCCCACGTAGCGACAATGGATCACTTGGGGTGTGTATGGCAAGGAGATCATGTGGCCCTGCATCTTGAAGAAATCTGATTTGTAGATCAGCTAAAGAGAAAGAAACAAATACATTAGAGATCAAATAGTTGACCTTCACGCCTCGGTCCTACAGTCTTTCCCACTAAAGACATACCCACCTCACTGACAGCTTCTTGTGTCTTTTTGACTTGGCGGATCTCAGGAGTATCAGGAGTTGTGTGAATCTTGTCTTTCAATTTGTGGTACAATTCTCGATACAGTCTCTACATTGAAGGAAAGGCCATGAATAGGATTAGTGTAGGGTAATCAGGACATCTCTTGATTAACACTTAAATACTTCACATGAAAAAACATAAAAGAATGGAAACAGGAGGAATGAGATTAGGGGGAGAAAGGATACTGAGTTTAGTCTATGGGAAAGAATCTGGGCACAAAGTCTTCTGCTTCCGATCATACAAACCAGCCATTTATGTAAACAAAGAATCATGAGTCAGAAAGAAGTGCATTTAATTAAGGCTTTTAAAAGATAACTATCAAAAGATGGAATTATTTATTTGGAAAAATTTTGCACCAAGATTGGTGGAACTGTTGTCTATAGACTTGATAGCATTACAAATT